AAATCATTAATAGGCAATCGTTCGATGGGCTGAATTGTACAAAACGCATGATCGCACCGGCTAGTCCGGTGCGCGTTGCTATTCATTGATGAATATCACATGTATAGATCCTAGCAAGCTGAAGTACTAGAAAACATCAAAAAACTTAGTAGTTATCCTCGGAGAATTGGAATAAGCTCTTTTTTTCAACGCTTTAAGCAATTAAGAAAAGGTTGCAGTCTGTATCGATGATATGATGGTTTGCTGCGGTGAAGCAACAGCTGTTTAAAAGGCCAGCAAAAACAAAACCTTTTCCAAATGTAGTTTTTTTAAGCCCTCAGTTTTAAATTCGTTTCTGAGAAGTAAAATTTATATGCAAACTCATCGGGCAGTTTGCAAAAGATATGGCGAATATACACTGATCAGGTGGGGCGGGTACCAGAAATAGGCATACAGTGCGGGACGGAAAGTGGCAAAGCTGAACCCAGTGTGTGTGTGTGTGTGTGTGTGTGTGTGTCTGTGTCTGTGTGCGTGTGTGTGTTCTAATAATATTAATACATTTAATGTTCCGTAACAACTTCTCAAGTCCCATAAAATTTGAGCAAATCTCATTTTCGCCAAAAATTTTATTTCAAAAAAATTTCTGTCGTGCAACTTTGACCAAAGTAAACATAAAGGACTATCGGCAGCCTCTAATGCCGTGGAAATGCATCAGGATGAAATGGCATCAGTTGGCCAGTGTTGTAGTATCCTTTGCAAAGTAGAAATACACTAAATACCTGCTGTGACTCTAGTTCACCCATCGCATCATCTGTATCGGAGAATTCACTGGTTTCCGGTTCTTCGCCTGAAGCAAAAATAAAGGTCGGCGAGAAACGAGAAATTAACAAGAAAGCAATTCGCTATTTCCTAATTTTTTTGTTTTTTTTTAAATTCTCGTGACAAAAGAAGACTTCCGAAGATACGGCACATAAAATCAGAGGAGACGGAGGATGCTGCAGATATACAGTCACGAAATTGTACGTGTTGTGCAAGACATGTGCCGATACTGCTAATACATGTCACTGCACCAAATGTCCCAAAGGTCCTGGTATTCTCGGCGTTTTGCACAAGTCCCATGTCACGTGTAATATTTCTCTTATAATTTTTCCATTGAAATTTTCTGCGGAGCAGCTTTAGAAAGTGAAAATTTTAGGATGCACTGAGTTATAACAACCAATGCAATCAAATCTGACACCAATTTTTTCAGAAGATACAAATAATTATTCAAAATAAAGCTGCTCCGCAGAAAATTTCAATGAAAAAGTTATAATAGAAATATTACACGTTACATGGGACTTGTGCAAATCACCGAGAATACCAGGAAGTTCGGGATATTTGGTGTAGCTATTTATATTGGTGGTATTATCTGCACACGTATTTTTATTTAAAAAAAAAACGCATATTGTCACGGGGTTGCCTGTGTGTGTGTTTGTGTGTGTATGTGTGTGTGTGTGTGTGCGTGTGTGTGTGTCCGCAGTAACTTGTCCGCAACTTTCAACTCGGGAACCGCAAAAGCTAGGAAGCTGAAAATTT